AGCGACGCAAACTACTAGTGTCGCAAAACTATCGATAGTAAACTGTCGACAGCACTATTGATAGGTTTACGATAGTAGATTATCGATAGTTTTCCGATAGACGATTAACGAGAGTTTTTCGATAGTCAACTATCGATAGTACTATCGATAGTTTTTCGATAGTCGACTATCGATAGTACTATTGATAGTTTTTCGATAGTCTACTATCAATAGTACTATCGATAGTTTTTTTAACTATCGTTAGTCAGATTTCTGGCAACTATCGATACTATCGATAGTACTATCGATAGTTTTGCACCACTACTCGGACGACCTCAAGGACGACTTCTAAGACGACCTCGAGGACGACGCCTAGGGGAAGCCTAGAGGACAACCTCGGACGACATTTAGACGACGTCTCGGGCCACTTTAAGGACGATGTCTAGGACGACCTCAAGGACGACTTCTAAGATGACCTCGAGGACGACGCCTAGAGGAGGACCTCAGGGATGACATCTTGGACGACGCCTAAAGAAATTCAGCCTTTCCACTCGGGTGAAAACCAGAGTAAAAAGGCTGGAAAGGTTGTCGCCATCTATGAGCAAGGCCGGCAAGCCGATTGTCTGGTTGCCGCCGTCGCTCATAGATGGCGGTAGCTGTCCAGAGTTTTCTGTCGACATTTCTTTGCGGGGGACACGATCCTGGGGAAACTAGCCCTTAACAGCTCCGCTGTAAAAGGGAGCGGACGAGCGGCTTGCATGCGTTCGCATAAACACACAAGGGATGCTTAGGTGTACCTCAATCTTTTTTTTTTCCCAATTAAAATAAACTTGTAAAATTTTTTTTTTTGACATTGTACATTTAAGTACAATAATGTCTTGTTAATATGGACCCTGTTGACATATTCACCCCGAGTTATGAGTGAAATTTTTGGCGACGGATCTTCGCCATTTATCGCAGTGTGCACCCAGACACTCATTGTGGGTTTAGGGATCAGAACTGCGCACCAAAACGCTCGTTTTGACGAAAACCCGGCGGTGTCTTTCGTTTAGGAGTGCCAAAGAGATAAAAGGAGAAGGGGGAGAGGGTGACGCGTGCGACGCTCTGGTTGGTCTAAAGCGCCGACGTCGGCATGCGCCCTCCCCCTCTCCCCGGCACTCACAAACTGACAGACACCGCCAGGTTTTTGCCAAAACAAGCCCTTTTATTTTCAGCAAAGTCATGTGCACAGCTGGCGTGGAGCAAGAGAGGAGGAGGCACCGTACAAAGCAGAGCCCTAATGCTAATTGAGACTGCGTAATCAGAAAAGGCCGAACCTCGGACACAGATTGGAAACGAGTGCTGCAGCTTCAGTGCTTGGCTTAGAGTCAAGTTTTAGCCGAACGTTGAGGTTGACACAATCGTCGTTTTCACTGTGTGCCCAGCGTTGGCCTTCTCTGATGATGCCATCTGATTCAGCACTATGGCTTTTTTGTATCTAAGAGCGTTTCCACCGCGCCGTGGCGCAGGTTCCACTGCGCCGCGGTGCGGTGGAATCCGGTTTCGTAAGGTCTTCATAGTTGCGTTCAAATGCCTCATTCACACACTGTAACCAGCTTCTAGTAACCAGTGTCAGTGGCGTACCAATTAACTTGTTTAGAGGCAAACCAGACCCCTCCCCAAGATTGGGGGGTGGTGCCCTTAGTATCCCTTGGCCAGTGTTCGCTCTGCCCAGTTTCGGGTGTTTCAGGGGGGGGGGGGGGGGGGGGGGGGGCAAATGCCCCTTTTTGTCCCCTCCCGGTTGGTACACCCATGACCAGTGTGAATGAGGCGCATTTGACCGCAATTACGAAGACCGTAGTTCAGATTTCAGCAGCTCTTTTCAGAGCCCCCAAATCGCTGCTCTTTCGGATACACTCCTTGCTGCCTCTTACGTCAAACTACAAAAGCAGACGATGCACAAAACAAGAACCGTCACAGACGAAGCTACGTCATTTCTGTAGCAGCATTGGGCTGTTTTATTAATTAATATTTTCGGCGTGACGCTTTCTGCACTGTGAAACTTAAATGAAAACACAAACAACTTCATTTTGGCAAATATTATTCGGAACCAAAAAAACTCGGATAAAAGTGCTTTTTCACTCGGCACGTCCGGTCCAGTGCACTCACTGGACTCGACTCACTCACTCTGCGCGTCCGGTCCAGTACGTCCAGTGCACTGGACGCTGGACATGCGAAGGCACAGAGACACAGCACTTCGGCATGCCAAGGAAGCTTTGAACACGCCATGAAACCGGCGAAACTTCTTTCAAAGAGTTGTGCCTTTTTCTGTGGCACTGCGCTTTCGTAAAAATTTCCACGTGTTCTCAATGGCAAGTATCACGCCTCACACAGAATCTTAAAAATAATCTTCAGCGAATGACGACGAACGGGTAGAAAATGTGTCTTCAACACGCTGCCGCCGGCCTCTGCAATGCTAGCAAAACGGAAAAAAACGGCATGCAAGATGGCCGTCCGGTGGCCGCAGTTGCACTAAGCCACTGTAGTTGCACTACAGTGGCCTAGAGAGTCTAGGGCACTGTAGTTGCACTGCAGCGAACCAGCGGGGATGCGCGATCCAGCAATTGTCCTAGAGATCAGTGGTAGAGTCACATTTTTAGAGCTCGCGACCACCGCTAGGGGCTGTTTCGCGGCCTGTGGTTGGCCACGAGATGCTCGCCTATTTAAACCTATTAATGGCCAAACTGGATAAGGCAAAAAAACATGGCAGTCGTTCGGTGTCTCCCCGAGAGCTGTTGCTCCGCCGTTGAGAAATAATCACTTTTTCTTTTCTTTGTACTCGGACTTCCGACTTGAAATTTTAGCACAACAGGCCAGTCAGACATTTTCGAGAAACGTTGCTACAAGATCCGTTAAGTTTTTATTTTTGCGAGTCATTTTGGAGTGTAATTTGTTTTTTCTGACACCCTGTACAACAAACTTTTGTAATTTTATTTGGTGAATAGTATAATTATAACTGAAGGAAATATTTGTTTCAAGAATGCAGTATATGTATTAAATGAGATTGTTTTCCTCAGTTTTCTTCACGTTTCTTGATAAATTATCCTCCACATTCTAGAGTTCCCCGCTCCCCCCCCCTCCCCCCCCCCCCCCCCCAAAAAAAAAAAAAAAACACATTATGCTGAAAAATTTGAGACCAGCCAACAAAAGTTTTGCAGGCCCTTGTGGCATGTACTCTGTCTTTGAAATATTTTTATTATGTTGAAACATGAGCGGAAGTTTGCTGCGATACCGAAGATATATTTCCCTCTTGGACTCGTGGGTGTTTCTAGGGGATGGGAAATATATTCCCTTCGGCGATTCAAGGGTTTAAAGGGGCCATGAAACGAATTTTGGGTTGGAATGAATGATTTTAAATTGGGACTTTACTAATCGCATATCGTTTAGTTGGCCAAAAGAAAGAGGCTGGAAAGTCAAAAGCCAGCTTTTCGGTACGAACATTTGAAAATATAGCGCACTATTTTGTACCTTCTTGCCTTCGAAAGCTCTCCAGCTTTTCACTATGATACATCCGCGGTTCCAAAAGCGCGTCACCGGCGCCAAACTGACGTCAGCAGAGCCCAGCTCACGCATTGGACACGAGAACTGCGTCACTCGGACGTATGCGCTCGTCAACAATCAATCCGTCGACGAATATTTGGATTCGCGTTCGTGGCCAATGAGTGCCCTGACGGAACTTATTGTCACTGGGGAATGACAAGTTCTATGGTGTGCATAACAAGCACGGTGGAAGCTAGGAGTCATCGCACCGGTGCCGAAGGAATGTCACGACCACGTGATTTCACAATTGGCATTTGAGTTGAGGATTAAAGCTAAGGAGGAAGAAGTAGGAAAATCGTTTCATGGCCCCTTTAAGGTGGCACACGGAAGAGGCACTTAATTGAACTGCTAAGCTCCCTACAGTCACTGAAAAGCGGGAGCCGGGTACAAAACTGCTCACAAGCATTGTCGTCGTCCGACAACCTGTTGGGATTTCCACATAGCGATTTTCACCTAAAGGCCTGTTCACACTCTTGCGACTGCTTGCGACCTTTTAAACCTGGGTTCCTTAAAACTTCTTAAACCAGAGAACACACTGGCGCCATCTATTGGGAAGCAGTGTAAACTCGGCGGTCCGGCATATTTTTTTTTTATTTCTCACGCAATATCCTTTCTTTTTTGGCTCGCAAAGCTTTTGTCAATGTTATAAACGAGCCTTTCTATGGACGCGTATTACGCACATTTGACCTCGGAAATCCCGCAAAACCTTCGCTTTTGTGAAATGCAGTTCTAGGGTCACCGCATAGATGGCGCCACAATGTCAGTGTGTTCCCTCATTCTAGAAACATTTACGAAGTTGTAAGAGATCTCGTCTCTCTCAGTCGTACTCGGTCGCAAGAGTGTGAACGGGCCTTAATGCTTGGCATAAAAAGTTTAACATCCTGCAAAAAGATGCTCGTAAAATATTTGTTCACATGGTCGTTGCTGTCAAATGAGCAAGACTTCAGCATACCATGGGTGGCCCTTTTCCTGATACGCCACTATACAGCAGTAACAGTTAGGCGAGTTGGTATAGATTAGGGTGCCTTCAAGTCCTGCTTCGCTAGTATAGATAGAACATAGTTACAGTTGTGCACAGTAACAATTACAGTAAATAACAGTAACACAAAGACGACAAACAAGCACACTTGTTTGTCGTCTGAACGGTTGTCAGATTCTACTGTAATTGTATCATGTTAAACTTTAAACCATCCTCTAAATGTGGGCAATGAAGGTGTTGGCAACTGGCTCCACCCAGTCCATGCCAGTCATCCACTATGGGAAAGGAAAATTAGACAACCCCCTGTTTTGTGTCAGACTCACAAAAATATATTGCATACATACATTTTCAGCATTCATAAAACAGTATTGTCTAAAATTTAATGCAAGCAGGCACTCCAAATAGATTACTCAAAGAGTGTGAGGTAAAGTACCAGTTGGGAGGCACAGCAGGGAGAATGCTATTCAAGGTCTTCAAGCTTTATTCCCCTTTCTAAAACACAAGGCAGAAAAAGTGAAGAACCAGAGCACTTGACAGGTCTAAACTGAAAACAAAAAAATGTTTTCTCAAAGGGCCTCAGGACTTCTTGCAAGTATGTAAACCGGGAAAATCCCATTTCCGCGTACGACAAACTCTTTGCAGTACTACCAATAAATTGGCTCAGCAGCTCGATGAACAATTAGGACTTCTGTGTCGTAATAATAAATTTACAAAATGGTAAAAATGCTCGTACGATCGATGATTGTGAAAAAAAGTTCCGACAAACTCGATCGTGCCACACTCGAACGCCAACCTATTTGTGCACACACGCGCACGAAGTGAAACCACGACGGGCACCGAATGCGACCACAGGTGCCACAATGCGGGCCACTGGAACTTTGAACGGCAGACAAACTTTTTGGCACATCGACGATACTCGATGTGGGATCAAGAGACTGCATAGAGATGATACGGCGTATCCTGGCACAATCCTTCCGTCGTGATATATAATCGGTAATGCCCGAGCACCTTGACTGTGCTTCACCTAGACGGTGTCAATATTGGCCTTGCCAACTTTCAACAGACAGTATCACCGAAGCCCACGTCTATTGGCGTAGGCTTACACCCACCGCCAAGAGACGGGATCGAGACTGCGAGTTCATGTATTGGACTTGCAGTCTAGGAAATGCACCGCTGACTTGCAGATTGTATATTTTCCAAATCTATGCGGCAAAAAAATGTGAGTCTTTACACGCTGCTTTGAGCTTATGTGCACTATTAATTCAACCGCTCATTCGCAAGCACTGGGTCTCCTTCGCCAAATTTCAAGTTTCGCAAAAAAAAGACATTGGAAAGTAGTCTCTCGTAGTGTGTGGCCACCTTCCACTCGTTTGCGGTAGGCACCTCCCAAGCTGCCACTAGGGTGCCTGGAACGAGTCGTCGTCCGGTGTGTTTGGCGTCCCATTCCGCCCGCACACGAAAAACAAGTCCAGAAGTGGCGACAAACGACAATGCGGAAGATGTCGTATCACATGTCGAGATCCCGGCAGTTGAGGCTAGAAGTTCCATCAAAAAGTATGAGCGAACGCGGGAGTCACTGCTGTTGCGCCGACCCAGCTCTTGGCCGTGGAAGCTTGCCCGGATTGTCAAACTAAAGAGCAACCTGCAGCAGAACCTGCACCCGCCACATCCACCGCCACTGACACGACACCATCAGGATCACAACCGGCGACACCATGACAGCTCTATGAGGGACCACTTCTAAGGAGGCCGTAAACACCGGTCAAGACATGTTCCAGCACCGTACCGCCACTTCTGTATGACCCACAGTTGGGCTGGTCGTGTCCACCGAACCCACCACCCGTAGCCGGTTGCACAGCCGCATCACCGTACACTCCGCGAGCTCTCCTCGCCGCCCGAAATCGCCTTGGAGTCTGTTGTACCGTAGTCGAAGCCACCAAGGAACAGCTTGTAGAACTGCCGGGCTGGCTCTTACCATCTTGTTGACCCACGGCTTCCTGCAGACAAAGGGGTCTATGACTGGCACGGAAATGGCGGCCGGCTGGCAAGGACGGCGACGGACCCGTCAAACCCGACCGGTGGGGTTCGAAATTTAGTAGAATCAACATCTCGTGTCGTCGCTGCATCCCGTACTGTACACAGTTCTTGAAAAATGGGTCCACCGTTTCGTAGCAACGCCTTCACATGCACCACGTTTACTGGGACCTGGAGAATTGTAACGAATAAAGCCTGCACGTCTGCTTTCCCGCGGAGCAGGCACGGAGTGAACCATTGCAGTTTATAGATAAAACTTTTTATTGCGTTTGCGGGCTAAACAGTCGCTGCGCTAAGGTACAGTTTCCTGGAAGGTGCCTCCAGCTGCGGTGTTAAATGTCCTGGCGCCTAAAGTGGTCTGGAAACGGCAACGAACGTCGCAAAAGCCGGAGTGACGTGCTATCGGATGTCGCAATCCTAGCAAATAAGCGTGAAAGTCCCGTAGAAAAAACACAAGAAAAACGAGAAATTGGAAGTGTAGCTGTTGTCACGGTGTTCCAACTTCTGGCTGCCAGGGCTACCGTAAAGCTTTCAGCTGGCGAGCAACCAGCGGCGGAACGGGCATCTCCCGCACCCAGCTCCGCCTCTGCGTCACCAGCAGTATCGCGGCAGGCGACAGCACACACACTTTTACATCATCGGGCGAAAATCGAGAAACCGAATTTGAGGACCTGGTAGGCACACGGATCGGAGACACGATACAGGCACCGTACGCCATCTCCAAAAGCTAATTGAGGAGAGCCCCTTACCTGAACCATCAGAATGTGCCGGCAGGACGACGATCCGGTTCGATATGTCGCAATGCCACCAAGCACTGTGCTGCAACGAGGCCGCAATAACTGTGCCACAACAACTTTGTCAAAACAACTATGTCACAATCAGTTGCTGCTACGACTGTTTGACCTCGCGGAGCTTGATAACGTCTGCTAGCGGCCGTAGTCCGTCACAAACGGCGGGGGGTGCTTGTTGAGGTGGCCTCACCGCAACGGTCGGATCCACGAGGACCTGATGTTGCCCGACTTCCTGCGATGATGCCGCCTCCGGACCTAGAAGCAACAAAGGGATGAGGTTCCACTAACCACTCGCTGTATGGACAGCCCGACGATCGATGCCCACATAGCGAATGAAGACTAGGCATCTTTAGGACCGGTGTGGCGCACAGTGAAGTCTAAGAGTAGAATCTCCCAGCTTCAGAAGCCACTTCGACTGCCTTATAGAAATCTGAGCCTGTAGTACTCACGCACTACAAGTTACGAGCTCCCATCCTCGGCATAAAGTGTTTTGCACTGGATTGTCGAGGCTAGCGTAGCTTTCGCGGTGCTCCAACTCCTTCACACCGGCGGCTTCACTGTGTTTGAAGACCGATGGCATCACCGCAGTACAAACCGAGCCACTTCTCTTTAGAGGGAGAAGAGGTTCTGTTTTTATAAAGGTGAAAGTTGTGAACTTGTAGATTTCGTAGTATAAAGAGGGCAGCTGAGGTTTTATTTAAGTGTTTGGCTATTTGAAAATATCGACGTTTACTGAAGCAAGATATGTTTTCAAGATTTGTCCTGGGACAGTTAATACTGCGAATTGCAAGGGCGCCAATGCCAAATGCAGCTGCAGAAATGTCTTTTGAGACCGGTGATATTTTTTTTTTATCAATTTAGCATATGTTTGTTTGGGCATATTTAATTTTTGTTTTAAAAAAAATCAGAGTAAAATTAAGCTTTGAATATTGGAGAATCGGGAATCTAACACAAATAATCTCCGATAAACCCAGAATTTCCAGCGAAATAAATATTAACTAAAAAAAAACACACTTCAAAATTCACAAATAGAAAACGGAATCCTGCTTATGACATTGTCGGAAGTTTTTTGAGCCAAAAATGAAAGAATGATGTGCAAAATATATAGGAAACACATGTACGGACATGCAGTGTTCCAGTGCTACTTTATAGATGGTGCCAGCATTTTTTCGTCGCAAGAGATTAAAGAGGTTTGAAGCCACACGGTCGAGAGAAGTCGCCAGCGTGTAAACCAGCCTCAACTTCACCACAAAGAAATCCCAAAGACCCACCCAAACCAGCAAGCCACGGCGGCACAACGTCCGGTTGTTCCAGCTGCACCGCCACGACTGGCAGTGTTGCCACCAAGGGCTGCATTGCAATGCCGTGCCGTTCCACGTTGTGGAAGTAAACGACGTTTGCCTGTGGCTGCGCTTCGTCACGGATGGAGGTGGGGACCCACTGCAGTGGCCGAGCCATGACGGTGTACGAGCCAATGGAATTTGTGGGGACTAGATCTTGCTGGAACTCTTTTGGAGCTGCCGCAGCCGGACCTAGAAAGAGCAAACGGATAGATGTCGCAGTGACCACACTGTGAAGGACATTGTATTTATCAATAAAGATTTCTTAAAAAAAAAATAAAAATCTTTCAGCCTTTCCATTCTTGTCAAGAAGGAAGACCAGCGAAGCTATATCTTTACGACGTCTCGGACGATGTCTAGAGGACGACGTCTAGGACGACCTCAAGGGCAATGCCTAGAGGACAACGTCTAGGACAACCTCAAGGGCGACTTCTAGGACAACGTTTGTAGGACGCATAGAACAACCACATGGATGACGCCTAAGTCGTCCTTAAGGACACCACGTCTCCCAGCACAAGCTCTTAGCATTGACAGTACTACAGCAAAACTTTGTTGTTGACCCTTTTTTTCTGGCTTAAGTGGCTTCACCGCAACCGTGACGTCACAAGGGTCAAGTGATGTCAAGAGAGTCACGTGACAGAGGGGAAGGAGGAGGGGCATACCCTCCCCTTAGTACCCTCCCCCCCTCCTCAAAAGCTGCATTCTAATTCGGCGCTACAAGAGGTTGTAAACCTCTCATTTTTTAAGAGTATGTGCAGAGGGCGTTGGTTACTACAAAAACCCCAAGTATAAAGCGGGTTGTTAAAGGGGCACTGACAGGTCAAAATCATATTTTTTTTATTATCCGAAGCGACTGAAAATGATTTTTGGACATTACCTTCACAATTTTAAACTTGGGAACTCAGTACTATACCTGGAGTAAGAAAACAATTTCCCAAAGCCGAATTTCAAGTTCCTGCGCAATCCGCGCCAGTGCAGTGACATCAAAGATTGAGTCGTCCTGCAACTCGAGTTTCTCTCAAACCTCCGAACCGTCTCGAGCAGAAGTGTAGTTTGCCCGTGTCCCGCGATCAACTTCTCTTCTCCGTGCCTGCCGCCTATTGCTTTGAGCAGGCGATACTTCACTTTCGAGTTTGAAGTTCTTTTAGGGCCCTTTCAGCAATCTCAAATTTTTTGAAACGGTGCGAGGTCACAGAGAATGCGCAGTGGACCCTTGTTAGGCAATGTAAGGGGCCACGTCGCGCCGGTTCTGCATGAAAGGCTGACCCGGCAGAGTTGCAACCAAGTCTGTGATACACAGACACCAAACACAGTTGTTTTGACCCTTTAACGATTTCCTTTTCGTAGTCCGATGTGTTGTCGGTGCCTAAAGAAGAGAACTTTGTCCGATTCCCCGACTCGCCGATCATAGTGCCGAGCACCCGCATGTATTTTGAAGGAGGATAAAAAGCCAGGAGGCGACATCATTCCAGACTTCAATGTTCGGGCATGTATTTTGAAGGAGGATAAAAAGCCAGGAGGCGACATCATTCCAGACTTCAATGTTCGGTATTTCAAAAAGAAAAGTCGTAGTGTGTTGGCAACTGCGCTTAAAAACACGTTTCACAAATGCCGTTTTTAAATATTGTAGAAATGTTGCTTACAAAGATTCTAAATTTCAGTATCGATTATGTCACAAATAAAAAGAAGCGAGGAGGTGAAAAAAGGGAGAGAAAAATGCCAAAAATAAGGTGTTTGCGTGTCTGATTACAAGTTGCATCGTTTCAGACAACAACAAAAAATTATGACCTTTGGGGTGTCAGTGCCCCCTGACACTGTGGCGTAGCTCTATGTTAATCCCTCTGCTTTGCATGCAGTGGACCCAGGTTCGATTCCCGTGGGCAATGGGCAATCTTTTTTTGAGGATTTGGCTACGTCAATGACGGGCACCCTGCTACGCCAACTACAACATCAACAATGGACGTCATTTCCAGTGGAGCTTAACAGCTATTGCCGTACAAGTAGCACAGCTACATACCTGCCCCCAGAAAAATCGCCGGAGCGTCGAATCCCGTCGGATCCTGAGGCTCTGCACACAGAGGTGGTTTCAGCATTCAGAACGGTACCTAGCTGTGAAATGATACTGAGACAACAGACCAGTCTTGATGGCCACCGCTGCATTGTTACGTTGTTGGGCCCCTTTGGAAACCTGCGGCTCTGCAAAGGATGAGCTAGAATTCAACCTGTTGCCGGCGATTGAATGTCAAAATTGCCAGTTTAATGAAGCACAGACCTGGATTCGTGTGGAACGTAACCTTTGTCACGTCCCTGTGATCTGGTGGTTCACCTGGTGGAAAATAAATGCGACACGAGACATAACATTTTGACTACATGTTTCCATTACAAAAAGAAATGTTATTGGGAACGTACCATTCGTAAGAGCTGGCACTAGGTTCCCAGGTTCCCAAACTTCCTTGTAATATTCTGGCTCTGTGAGTAAAGAAAGGTGCAATCATTTATAATAAATGTAATGCTTTGCAAGGCCCAGAGTAAAAACACACACAAAAAAATTAAAGCCGTTTATAACTCCGTGTATCGCGGAATTAGAGCGCAGCTCTTGAGGAGGAGGTTGGAAGGGTACTGATGGGAGGGTATACCCGTCCTCCCTCCTCCTCACCTCGTCATACTGCCTGCTACTTCGCCACAAGGGCCACAAAACCTCAGGGGGAGGAGCCACGTGATCTCAGGTGGGGTCACGTGACCCCAGGGGGGGGCGGGGTCACGTGACCTCAGGGGGGTCACGTGACCCCCTACGGTTATGCCGACGGCGACGGCACTCAAGCCGGAAACGGGCGCCTAAGAGCTGCACTCTAATAACAAAAAACAAGCACCAACTTAGGAATGACCTGATTTAACAGATACAAGAGGACTGCTAGGCTCTTCGTCCTGTTCAACATATTCTGGTGGCTCTGCAAATGCAGGGATGGCACAGCAACACATTAGCTTATGCTAAGACAGCACGAAAACAATACATACTATTATGAGATCCTAAAAGGAGGCTTAGCTTGAGATGTTACGAGACGTTTGGTTTATGCCAGGGTACGAAGGAGGGAGGTACGTGCCTGAGCTTAACTGTCACGATGGAGATGTCCTGGTCCTAACAAGACTTTAAAAAAAGGTACCAAGGGACGCTTTGAGTTATGCTGAAATTAAATAGAGCTAGAAGACAGCTGCTTTAAAACTCTGCAATGGAGGACAGCTACAGATCAACAACGCCCAATGTCTTCGGGAAAAGATGTAAGAATTCAGGTATGAAACAAGCTTAATTGTAAATTGCAAACTGTTATTCGCACAAACGTTATTTTAAAAGAACATTTTGTGCTAGAAGTCTTATGCTTCAGTTTTCTGCGGGTACATTCCTATCAAGGAAGAACAGCAGTTGCTCATCCTTCTGTAATGCAAACAAATTCATTTTCGCAAATACCGCAACTTGAAATAAAATGAGAAAAATTTATCACGCAAATATATCACCTCATGATACTTAATGCAATACGTATTGCTGCCTATCAGTAAATTTTGTACCCAAAAAATATTTCAAAAATCTGCGCTTTGCAAATTTCACAAAATATTCAACCTGCTAACATAGTTATTCACAACATATTACTCTGGCTTCTCAAGTTTTAGTGCTATTGAATTATAACAACTCTTATTAACACAAGAAGCTAGAAGCTAGACAACCTAGACTTGTGCACAAGTCTAGGTTGTCAATACATCTGATAGCTTTCTTTTCTAGAACAAGTGACTTGTAACGACAAGATTTTGATACTGTTTCTGCCCAATAAATTTAATCTTGACAGACCAATAATGGTTAACCATAACGCATTAATTCTACAATCAACCTCCAGATCCTATACAACATTCCAGAAACGGGCATCTGGCTGGTCCCAATTTCAGCATTTGTGCATATGGCACGTGCCTTGCATGCCTTATGAAGAAACAAACATGCGTCTGCCGGGCTGTGATGATCATGCGCTGGGCTACAATTTTGTGGACATTGGCACGGTGCACTTGTTCCCCCTGTTTCATTGTAGAAACCAGAAATGCTGGTAGTCCTTTAAGTGCTAGATTTAATCCGAAATGACCTGCTACATCATGTGAAAAATGCTTGTGCAACAACACACCCGTCTTGATAGTAACAGCCGTCGTCGCAGTGTTGCTGCTGGAACCATCCAACCCTGCAAGAGGAGATGGCAAGAGGCTGCGATTAATGCAAAGTATGCGCTGGGAAAATAAGTGTTCTGAAAAAATTCAAAGCACAGAAGTACTTCGCCACCATTAATAATGGAGTGATCACGTTGATGCTAGTATGCTAATACACTTCCAGGTATATTCAAAAGCTTGAAGCTGTTTATAAAGAGAAGCAAAAAAGTGAAAGCCGTTTACAACTCCCTGTAACACCGAATTAGAGCGCAGCTCTTGAGGAGGAGGAGGGAAGGGTACTGGGGGGGTGAAGTGACCTGGGGGGGGGGGGGTCACGTGACCTTGGGGGGTCACGTGACGATGCCGATGATGTCGTCAGTGACGTCACTGATGACGTCATCAGTGACGATGACGATGCGGACTCCGATGACGTCATCAGCGATGATGACGATGACGATGCAGATGTCGGTGACGTCATCAGTGACGTCACTGATGACGTCATCTGTGATGATGACGATGACGATGCGGATGCCCCCCCGAAGTCACGTGACACCCCCAGGTCACGTGACCACCCCCAGGGTCACGTGACCCCCGCCGAGGTCACGTGACCTCCCCGATGACGTCATCGTTACTGATGACGTCTCCGGCATCCGCATCGTCATCGTCATCATCACTGATGACGTCATCAGTGACGTCACTGAGGACCTCACCGGCATCCGCATCGTCATCGCCATCATCACTGATGACGTCATCAGTGACGTCATCAGTGATGATGACGATGACGATGCGGATGCCGGTGACGTCATCAGTGACGATGACGTCATCGGGGAGGTCACGTGACCTCGGCGGGGGTCACGTGACCCTGGGGGTGGTCACGTGACCTGGGGGTGTCACGTGACTTCGGGAGGGGGGTCACGTGACCTCAGGAGGGGGGGGGTCACGTGACCTCGGGGGGTCACGTGACTTCAGAGGGGTCACGTGACTTTGGGTGTCACGTGACCTTGGGGGTCACGTGACCCTGGGGGAGGGGTCACATGACCTTGGGATGACCTTGGGGGCCACGTGACCTTGGTGACGGCGACGCCGCTCAAGCCGGGAACGGGCCCCTAAGAGCTGCGCTCTAAAAACGTCTTGCAGCGCACAAGGCATGAAGCCTCCTGCAACCAATAACGCCAACCCATCCAACTGTCGGCCACGCAGGATAGACATAAATGTGCAAGTTCACCTGGGACGTGTTCCGAAATTTACTCCATCTCGCTTTAGGGTAAAGGTTTTGTACTTTGGGGTTCGAAAACCTACCCACGTCCAGCGTTGCTCTATCTGTCTTGTCACAGGACAGGAGCAGCCAGAGTAACTCATCTATTCGGGTAAGATTTGGAACACAGCCCTAGTCTAGCCTTCGCCGGAATGGCCCCACTTTGTCAAGCAGCAAAGTCGTCCCGCATATCCGAGACAAAACATGCGAAATATCATGAATGATGCACAAAAGAATATATCAGACTGGCAACAAGCTGTTGATGAGACCACCATGAACCTGGTTTGCCAGAGAGCCCACAAAGCATAAGCAAATTCATGGGCTCTCCTCAAAAGCCTCCATGCCCAAATAATAAAAAAAGTTACAGAATAAAAAAAAAACAGTTTGATCATGCTGACAAAGACCCATAAGCACAAAATCTGTGCTTATTAGGCCTATCTTGCCGTGAGAATCAAACAAGACTGTGGCTCACTTCATTTTTATGTATATAAAATGTTTCAACAACGAAGCGCGTCACAACGCCAGAGATCGCTTTTGCACGTTCCGAACGCCGTCCTTGGATAGCTCAGTCAGCAAAGCACTTCTTTCAGTCCCAAGGTGGGGAGGAAAGTTAAAATCCTGCCAGTAACTGAAGTGTCTTTGTATGGCTATACCTATGGGCATAACGCTTTTCGGTGTTCTTTGTTACACCTGGCTGTTACTGCCAGTCGTTACAGTAAAGCGTTACACTAAAACTTTACGGAACTCGTCAAACCAGACTATATTGAACCCATTTACATCAAATTATTCCTTATATTGAAAAATTTTTGTGCACAGTAATGTTACAGTGATAATATATAGCAAAAACTATGGTTACATCGAACAAAAATAGCAGCTGCTACCGACATATCGAACTGCCAAGACCGCCGTTTTGCTCTGCAAGCTGGCTTTCCCCTAAGGCAGGCGGCTGCATTGGGGGAAAGCCAGCTTGCAAAGCAGGCTGGCTTTTTTTTTAACGGAAGACAAAAAAAGATAAAAAATATCTTTTGCAGAAGGAGCGGGGAGAGGGTGCTTCGTGCTCCCTCTCCTTGCTCCGTCCGCAAAAGAGAATATTGTTTCTTTTTTCTTCCAGGCATTTGACACAACACCCCGAAAGAAAAAAAAAGAAAAAAGCCAGCTTGCTCTGCTAGCTGGCTTTCCCCCAACGCAGCCGCCTGCCTTAGGGGAAAGCCCACTTGCAGAGCAAAACGATGCTCTGCAGGGGAAAGTGCTCCTGCTTGGACGTGCTCCGTGCTCTCGGCATAGTTAGGTGCTAATGCGCGAATATGGAAGGCAGCGGCCTCAGCATTTTGGAGTCCGTCGATAGTGTAGAAAAATATCGTTATCGCGGATGCAATGAAGAAAAAGCAGCAAAAGATGCACGACTACTTCACTGTGTAATATTTCAGCAGGAAGGGAATTTTTGAGAGTGAAATTCGTTAAAACTTTTATATCGAATTACCCGCTATATCGAACTGGTAGACGTTATGTTTGCGAGTTCGATATAAACGGGTTTGGCTGTATATAGAGATCAACTAATAAAACACATTCCGTGAAAAAAATAAAAAATATTTAAACGGCAAGAACAATAGCATGGGCATGGCTACATACCTGACCCCTTGGAAATTGCCTTGGTGTGGACTTCTGTCAAATCTGGCGCCTCTGCACAGGTAAGTGATTCCAACATTTAGAGTGGCACCTACCCATAAAATGCCACGAAAACAACAGACCAATCTCAACGAACACTGCCGTGTTGTGCCGTCGTCGAGTCTCTTCGGAAACCTGTGGCTCTGCAAAGAACGATTTCGGATTCAATGTGCTGCCGGCAATTGAACGCCAAAATCTCGAGTTTAACAGAGTACACACCTGCATTGAAATGGAAGGTGACCTTTGTCATGTCCGTGTAATCTGGTGATTCAGCAGACAGAAAAAAGTCATGAGAAAAGGTTCAGACACCTTCCTAGCTACAAAAAGAAATGTTATCAGCAACATACCTTTCGTAAAAGTTGGAACTAGGCTGTTAGGCTCCCGAACTTCCTCGTAACATCCTGGCTCTGCAAGTACAAAAAAGATTGGTATTTTTTTCAATAAAGATAATGTAAAAAAAAATATATATATGGAAGTGTCAACTCTATGACAGACCTGATTTAACAGACACAAGATGGCTGCTAGGCTCTTTGTCCTGTTCAACATATTCTGGTGGTTCTGCAAGTGGAAGCACAGCATAGTGAAATTTTAGCTTATGCTGAAACACAATGAAAACAACACTATAGGATGCTAAAAGGTGGCCTGGTTTGAGATGAACGGCCTGCACCAAGATACAAATGGACTAGATCAGGGGTGGCCAAACTGCGGCTCACGAGTCACATGCGGCTCTTTGCGGGTTCAAGTGCAGCTCGTGGCTCCCGGGTAAGCTGAACCTTTTTCCCCTCCTGTGTCCCTGGGACAAAAAAATATAACAAAAATGTTCCTTGGCAGCTAGACGTGTCCAGTGACCCTGTTCCATTATTGTTCTAGAAAGAATTTCGAACGCATGATGGGCATCAGGGGCAGTGGCTGGCTGGAGAACCATGCAATAATTTTTGTTTAGTGGGTGAAGAAACGTTTTGGTGCCTGGTGTTACTTGTTGTAGTCGACAATTACACTTGACTCCTTTGGAAAGGACGGTTATTTCCGTATTATTTCTTGTTCAAAATAGCCCCCTCCCTCCCCTCCCCCCTTTTTTTCCCTGCGGCTTTTTGAACTTCTTTATTTTTGTCTGCGGCTCAAATCCCATGTCACTCTGGCCGCCCCTGGGCTAGATGTTTTACACTGCTTTTTGAAACAAAATATATAAAAAAAAATATTTTTGACATTTAGTTTTTGGAGATCTACAGGCACTTATGATCATGTACTCAAGTATTTTTATGAAATAAGTCTCTTTTCCCCTGAAACATTGACTTGAAAACATTGTAAAATCGGTTTGTGCATGTTTTCTTGCTATTATTTGCATCCAACTGACCTTTTTCAGAGATTGTTGGGCGCATGCACCGAGTCTGAGAGAGGGGAGGAAAGGAGACGGCGCCATTTTTGGAGGCTCTCTCTCGTGCTCTAAGTCACTTAGACAGTGCTGGTTTGGCTTGAATCCCTTCACTATTCTTACGGCTTGGCTTCACAGTCGCCATACTTCACCACTGCACAGACGTTTAGTTGCACAAATAGCAGCAAAAATGGTTCAAATTCAAGAATTTATAAAGTTCCAGCAGCGGGTGGCGTATGAAACCACCCAATGTCAAACACCCCTCCCTTTTTGCCATGCTTTCAAAAGCCCCTCTTTCAGAAGCCTATGACGCAAATCCCTCGTGTCAGGTGGCCGGGTCTTCAACACGATGGCAAGACATTCTGCTTTTAACTAAAAAAACTAAGTGTGCGTGCGAGTTTGCATAACGCAATCATGCCGTGCCCGGTACTCAAGTAAAGATTAACCGTGGATAAGGCTTTCCATACTTCATGTGCGCTATACACATCCACGTCTTGCAATGTGAAAAGTGAAAAAAAAAAATTATATATTAGTCTGGCAAAACATTTAAAGCGTGCGAAATGGATTACGGCGACAGAACCCTGACGGAACGCGTTGGCAACCGACTGTGAACTTTCGTTGGCAAGACCCACTTCGTCGGATGTTCGTAAACGTGCTGAATTCAAAGAGAGATTCTACCATACCGTTCCTCACTTTTCGACAGTGCAGGCGAGCCTTCGCGACATCAAGACTGCCCGGAATTCACCCTGATCGAGTTTGTTTGCACAGCTCCGGGTGCGGCGATGCCCTGTGCACTTGCACCGTACACCGGACGGAATGCAATAAGCTTGAATAACTTAGGCGATCAACCAGAGCGAAATCAGTTTGTAGTGGTATGGCCTCATAAACAAAGTGCACAAGCTCCGCACAAGGTGGATGGTTGAGTCGGGATCGAAACTGGTCACCATTACTTTCCGTACATAACACTTTGCCTTGAAAGCCGACCCCTTTTTCAGTTGCTTGCACGACGCGACACCGAAGTGACGACTGAGTGACTCTGAGCCGATGGTAGGAATCGATGCGGCATCGACGGTCTATCTATCTTTGAAGGTATAAAGACGAACGAGGTCGTTCGTATCAAAGATAGTGGCTTTCGTTAATCCTCCGGGGTCGTCCTCAGCCATTTCAAAGAAAATAGGCACGCGAAGCAACGACAGAAAGGCACGTTCTGAATGGCGAAAGGTGGAACAAGGGAACACGTAAATATGCGGGCCGGGAGACACGCCGGACGCTGGCGCAGACGATGGAGCAACGGGCCCGAAGCCCCCAAAAGTGTTTCGAGCGAATCCCGCGAGAGCGCGCCACGATCGTGGCCAAACTCTGAAAAAGGCCCCCCATTGTGCATTTTTTTTCTTTCTCCGATAGGTACATGCATGGGGTATATAATTAAGGGGTATAAATATGTTAAACATAATATCCAATTTTTTAGATGCTTTTTATACTTCCTGCAATAAATAACTTTGAAACTAAAAATTCTAAAGTGTCATAAAAACAAAATTTCCTAGAGCTCATTTATACCTTACTGGGCTCTACACTCCTATCAGTTTACTGAGCTATGTTTATTTTCTGATTTGAGTATTTTAATCTGCCTTGGTTCCTTTCCATAATCTTTGCAAATGAAACTTCCAATATTAAGGACACCTTAGTAGTCAGATTGTAAAAGCAGATAAGTTGTGAAAATTTAATTTGTATTCTATTGCAAGTTAGATAAAAAGAAAAAAGTTCTAGAAGCAGTGTTCCCCCTTAAACAGCAATAACAGAGAAGCCATGGACATGTCTTAGTGCAGAGGGACACTTTAGGTGATGCTGAAAGATGCAGAAACTAGAAAATCTAGAAGGGACTTGCTGCTGATAACGTCAGTTATAGTATGTAGCTTTTTTGTGTGGTTCACCTCCTACATTATGCGTGGTTTGTGAAAATTTTATATCGAAAATAGTTTTCACAGCACACTTTACGTTGCGGTTTTGTGTGTGCACTTCTGGAAACCGACTCCCGATTTTTTGTTCCAAAGATATAACTTATGTTGCTGAATCGTGTAAAGAAGAAAGATCTGTGCAAGTCCAGAAATCTAACTTATCAATGCATCGGATTGCTTTTTCTTTTATTGTAGGATGAGTAGCTTAATTGGAAAGATCACTTTCTACTGCTTTTCTCCGGAGCAATGATAGTGGCTTAGATGAGCTCGCAACAGGTTGCCTTATTTGGTACCCGTCCCATTTAGGCCACCTGTTTGGTCTTACAGCCCTCAAATGTTGCCAGCCCTTTACATGCCACATTTTAACCCAAAATGAGCCAATACCTAATGCGAAAACTACTCATGCAGCAACGAACCTGTCTTGATAGTAACAGCTCGCGTCAGACTGCTGTCACAGGAACTGCCCCACCCTGCAAAAAGAGATGGCAGGAGGCTTTAATTACCACAAAGTGATGTGCTGAAAATTAAAATGCTATTACTGCCCAATTCACAGCATAAAAGTGCTTCGCTGCAATTATCAAAGAAACGATCCCACATACTAATCTGCTAATGAATTTACAGGTATTATCAGAAGCCTGAAGCTCTATAGCTGCATGAAGACAAGTTGGCAAAATCTTCTAGTGTTCAAGTCACAGAGCTTCCAACAACTAATAGTGCCAATCCATTAAAACTATCGGCCACGTGGGTCAAAGACAAGTGCGCAAACTCACCTCGTTCATCGTTCGGTAGTATGGATTCACTTTCCTGGGTGACAGAATGGCCCTGCACATCTGAGACAAAAAAATATAATTTATGGTGCATGAAAAAAATATAGTATAAAGAAATTGTCACCAAGCTATTATTTAAACCAGCACATAATCGGCCTGTCAGGCAGCCCCAGAAATAGTTACCTTGTTAGTTCTTTTCAAAAGATTTTGCATCTAAATTTCAAAAGTTATGAAAAAAAATTCCGAGGACACCTAAGCATATCTTCTGAGTTGTGAATGCAAAACCATTAATGTCCAATAGAATGCCACTGAGTGCTCCTTTGAGTTTTGCATCGCGAGTAATGTTTTAGAGTTTCGCTCACGTTTCACATGTGCTGAGGTTGCGGCCACCGACGATATATATGCTTTTTGCCGCTTGAGACGCTTTGCTTTGCGATCCATTTCCCTCTCCCGCTTTCGAATGGCTTCATTCTGTCTCCTAGCACGTTGCGCTGCTGCTCGTTCCGCCCGCCGTGTGTTCGGAGACTTGCACCGTGTTTTCGGAGACTTGCCGACGATGGTGGATTTTGCTGCCTTCCTCTTCGCTCGTTTTGCTGCATTCAGTCGCTCCCTTAGTTCGTCTGCGGTGTACTGGCGTGGACGGCCACGGCCACGTTTCACTATTTCCGAGGTTGCGGCCACCGCCGATATAGATGCCTCAGACGTCGCCATGTTCCTTGGTGCCGAGAGGAGCAGAAGGTGCCGCGGTGCCGGCAGTGAGTGCGGCGATACACCGTGCGGACCGCCCTGGCTTGCGGGTGACTGCCGCGCCGCTGGGTGAGGCAGCGACGGGACTGCGAGGCTCGGCACGGTGCATACTGAAACCAAGTGTCCTCTAATCATCATCATGGCCCTAGCTGCGGGTACCAGTTGACGACGTTAGACCTCAAAGGATAACGTTAGGCCTAACGTCAGGCCAGCGCATAGCCACGTCCCCCATCCCGCAGCGCTGCCAGCAGTTTGGCCGGCCCCTTAGCAACGATGATGCCACTTCTATGAAGCCACATGACACGTCGCAACCAATGGAAATTTAGGTGCATGCCGTTTCAGTCAGCCAGTGGCAATTTAGGTGCCATATTTCGCTGCTACAGACAATGCCGGCTTCGGTCCTTGGGACAGTTAAAGAGACACTGACAGGGTGTTTACGCCCCGATAGGGTATTTCTGCTTCAGGCCTATCATGCCGTGTGAGTCAAACGAGACGGTGGCTCGCTTCATTTGTATGTATATAAAAAGTTTCGACAACGCAGTGCATAACCGCGTTTCGTTGTTTTTCTTTCACAATTGCGAAGTGGTGAGTTCAAATCCTGCCAGGAATTGAAGTGTTTTTATGTTACCTATGGGCGTAACGCCTTTCGGTGTTGGGATTTTTTGTTACGCCTGCCTGTTACTGCCAGCCGTTATAGTAAACAGTTATAATAAAATGTTACAGAACTCTCTATAGAAATCAAATAATAAAACACTCTGCATTAAAAAAAAGTTAAATGGCAAGAACAATAGCATTGGCTACATACCTGTTCCCATGGAAACTGCCTTGCTGTGGACTTCTGGCGGATCTGGCGGCTCTGCACACGTGAGTCCAACATTTAGACTGGCACCTTACCATAAAATGCCATGAAGACAACAAACCAATCTTAACAGCCACTGCCATGTTGTGCTGTCGTAGAGTCTCTTCGGAAATCTGTGGCTCTGCAAAGAACGTGGTCGGATTCAACATGCTCTTTGTGATTGAACACCGAATTGGCCAGTTTAATAAAGTACACACCTGCATTGAGGTGGAAGGTGACCTTTGTCACGTCCGCGTAATCTGGCGATTCAGCAGATAGTAATGAAGAAACTCATGAGAAAATGTTCAGAAATGTTCCTAGCTCCAAAAAGAAATGCTATCGGCAACATACCTTTCGTAAAAGTTGGAACTAGGCTGTTAGGCTCCCGAACTTCCTCGTAACATCCTGGCTCTGCAAGTAAAAAAGGATTGAGATTCTACTCAATAAAGAAAATGTTAAAAAAAAAATATATATATCAAAGCGTCAATTCTATGACAGACCTGATTTAACAGACACAAGATAACTGCTAGGCTCTTCATCCTGTTCAGCATATTCTGGTGGTTCTGCAAGTAAAAGCACAGCATAGTGAAATTTTAGCTTATGCTAGAACACAGTGAAAACAACACTGTAGGATGCTGGCCTAGCTTGAGATGTTTGGCTTGCGCCAAGATACGAAGGAAGGGGGCTAGATAGCACTTATCATCTTGTTCTGAAGTATTTTTGTAAAACAAGTCTCTCTTATCCTGAAATATTGAATTGAAAACATTGTACAATTGGTCTGTGCATGCTTTTTTGCTATTATTTCATAATTAACTGGTATTTACACACTGCTCTTTTATGGAAGCCACATCTCCACTTGCACACATCCAATTGTCCTAGTCTTTTTCTTTCTCCTAGTGTTGTGCGAATATTCGAATTTTCGAATAGTAGTTTCGAATAGTTATCTATTCGATATTCGCTTCGAGAGCAGTTGTAATATTCGTGCTTTTCAAAGTGTTCACAACTCACGGTGGCAAGTTTGTTTACTGTCTAAAGACCAGAAAGAAACGATATCTAAAATCAAGAATATACTCACATGTTTGGCAAAATGGTATAAATACTAGGGTGGGAACTTTGAAATATATTCATTGCATTTATTTCATCAACTTTTTTAATAATGGGCAAAAGAAACCGAGCAACGAACTCCAGAGACGCCGGCGCCATCTTCGCCAATCTTGGCGGCCTGGTTGCCAGCACTCTTTTCTTACCACCACCACGTCCAGACATAAATTTAGAAAAACAAGTTTAGGATAAAAATAAACACTATTAGAAATTTCTCATAACGTGCATAATTGCTCAGAAATTTTCATTTCCGATAAAACTCAAACACGGTTTCAAAACATTTAAACTATAATATTTCGAAGGAATATTATTACAGTGACAAAGTGAGTGGATGACATCGACATTGTCAAAATGACGGCAGCTAAGTCGGTTGGCAAGATGGACTAAAGACAGCGTGAGAAGTCCAGTTTGAAAGTATTTCTGTAAACTTCCCTCTAAAAACGGCCAAGGTTTTTGAACGGCAAGTATTCGATATTCGATTCGAAAATATTCGACCAAAATCACTATTCACTTCGAATTCGATTCAAACTCAATATCCACTATTTGCACAACCCTACTTTCTCCAATACGTACATGTGTGAGGTATCCAACAAGGGGTATAAATATGTCAAACATAACATTAAGTGTTTTTAGACATCCTTTATATTTCCTCCAATAAACAATTTTGAAACTGAACAATTCAAAAGTGTCATCAAAATATAACTTCTCCTGAAGCTTCCATTTATAACTTACTGGAATCCACATACCTTTCAGTTTACTGAGCTAATAGCCGAAAAAGTGTAGTTTCGGCTTCAAGGTAGGTTTGAGCTTGATCACAAGCTGGTGTGTTGCTCAAAAATTGTCTTGAGAACGATGGTTGCCTTTGTCTAACATGGCTAACTGCTTGCATCAGTCTTCGTAACAAAGATGGCATTATTTACAAAATTCAAGTGTATTGTGGAATATGTTTTAGACGTCAAGAGCTCTGGCGACACTTTAAATGACGTTACAGGCATCACTTAACAGACGTTTGTCGCTAAGCATCAGTATAATTTCCAAGGCTGTACTGAGCCGGCGTGCACGTTTTATGTTCCCAACAAGGTGGACAAATATGCTGAATAGGAAGGAACTGCAGTCAAGGCTATGACAAAACCAAGGTAGAACACAAAGAAAGCATTCTGCTGAGGATGTGAGGCATACTATCTGTGTTTCACCAATATAAGCATTCCTTCGTTGAAAAGCACACGTGTTACGGAGGCTAACTCTTCGACGAATTAAAAATAGACGTCAATTAAAGCGCACTAACTTTGAAAAGTAAAAGCCGTGTGTGAAACCCATTTTGCATACCGTATACGGTATTTTTTTTATTTTTCAGTTTTGCATGTTTTTTGTATTAAAAAAAAATATATTTTAAAATCTTTCGACCAAATTGTACCAAACTCTATTTCTTTTGAAAAAAAACAACTAAATGGCTACATTTTGATGTGTTATATTTCTACATACGCCAATTAGATAGGAAAACATAAGCGGTTGCACGGATCCTTCTTATCCCGCGGTCAGAAAAGAGTTAAGGACATATTTGTAGTCAAATCGTAAAGGCAGATAAGTTGTGCAAATTTAATTTGTATTCGATTGCAAGTTATATTAAAAAGCTCCAGAAGCAGTGTTCCCTCTTAAACAGCCATAACAGAGAAGCCATGGCCATGTCTTAGTGCCGAGGGACATTTTAGGTTATGCTGAAGGGTACAGAAGAAAAGCTAGAAAAACCAGAAGTGACCTGCTGCTGCTAACGTCAGTTAAACATAGCTTTTTTGTGTGGGCCTTTTCCTACATTATGCGACCTTTGTGAAAATTCTAGATCCAAAATTGTTTTCACGGCATACTTTATGTAGCGGTTTTTTGTGCGTGTCGCTACTTCTTGAAGCGACATGCACAGAATCGCAATTCGCTACTCCCGATTTTTTGTCCCAACGTAAATTAATGAAGATATAACTTATAATGTTGCTGAATTGTAAGAATTCAAGTGTAAAGAAGAAAGATCTGTGCAAATCCAGATATCTAACATGTCAATGCATTGGATTGCTTTATTTTTTTTTTTTGTAGGATGAGTAGCTGGGAAAGATACTTTTCTACTGCTTTTCTCCGGAGCAATGAACAGTGGCTTAGATGAGGGCGCAACAGGTTGTCTTATTTGGTTCCTGTCCCATTTAGGCCAGGTGTTTGGTCATACAACCCTCAAATGTTGCCAACCCTTTACATGCCATGTTTTAACCTGAAATGAGCTGCTACCTAAAGCGAAAATTACTCATGCAGCAACAAACCTGTTTTGATAGTAACAGCTCGCATCAGACTGTTGTCACTGGAACTGCCCCACCCTGCAAAAAGAGATGGCAGGAGGCTTTAATTGTGATTTGCTGAAAATTAAGGTGCTATTAATGCCCAATTCACAGCATAAAAGTGCTCTGCTGCAATTATCAAAGAAATTATGCACTAATGCATTCACAGGTATTTTCATAAGCCTGAAGCTCTGCATGAAGACAAGTTGACAAAATCTTCTAGTACTCAAGTCACAGAACTTCTAACAACTAATAATGCCAGCTCCATTAAAACTATTGGCCACGTGGGTCAATCAAAAGAGAACCGACGTCACGGATATGCGAATTTACACGGATTCTCAAGAGGCGCTCCGAGAATTCCGCCGGATTGACACGTGCAACCCCACTATTGCAGAGATTCGAACCCTGGTGCGCCAGGCGAGGGCGCATCAAGCCATCAGCGTTACGTGGCTCCAGGCCACGAAGGCATCCCGGGGAACGAGCAGGCAAAAGGGGCCGTGAGGGCAGCGCTAGAAGCAAGATCGCTCTCACAAGGCCCGGTTCCCTCGTCTGTTCAACGGGAGGGGCCCCAGGACGACTTCAAACTTTCAGAGATGAGGCGTGCAGAGAAAACCACACGCAAGGCGAGCCTCACTGCACTTCTACCGCCCAACCCTCATCTGAACCCGCGCGGCTTTCCACGGTGGGAGCGGATGGCACTAAACCAGCTACAAACAAGAACTATGATGACGCCAGTTAGCCTGGCAAGGTTACACCACCCAGCGAATCCACAAGACTTCGGCCCCGATCCAAACTGCCAACAGTGCAGCGTCTCGGCCACCTGCTCCTATCTTGTGTGGGAGTGTGCTGGATATGCGCAAACGCGGGAGGCCGCCATCCACGACCTCCCAAAAAACCTTACGCCCCCGCTCCTTTTTGGAGTGGACTCATCCGAACACTACTGAGAATGCGGAACAGAAACTCATTTATGCATCACTTTCATTTATGCATCACTTATCAACTTCCTCCGATCCTCAGGGGTCGGTAGATTCATCTAATCATTATCACCCATCACTCCCCCCCCCTTATCCCCCTGCCTACCTTGAGGCCCTCCAGCCAGAAGGCAGATATCTAATAAATGTATTATCCATCCATCCACGTCGGTCAAAAACAAGAGTGCAAACTCACCTGGTCCATCGTCCGGCAGTGTAGATCCGCTTTCTTGAATGTCAGAATCGCCCTGCACATCTAAAGAAAAGAAAAAAAAAAAAATATATATATATAAATATATATATGCCGGGTGTTAAAAAAAGCAGTGAAAGTTGCACTTATGCCGCTTAAGGAGGCGAGTTATACGGCCAGGGGGACATATTATAGGGGCTAATCGTAACGACCAGTGGACTAATTATTTAAAATTCGTTAATTAACTTTTTAAATAAATGAAAATAGACATATAGTTCCAATTAGAAACTTGTTCAGTGTCATCGAAAACCACGTAATCAGTCATTTCCAGAAAGACTTTGAGCGCGTGAGAAGCGTTAGTAGTGCACTAAAGTTACCACTTGTGGAGCAGGTACAAAGCTAGCTGTTGCAATAACGCGATTTTTCCGTCTCTTATCTAGCCCCAGCCTTGTACCTGCTCCACGAGTGGGAACTTTAGTGCAATACTACGCTTCTCACGAGCCAAAAGTCTTTCTGAAAATGACTGATTTAGTGGTTTTCGATGACACTGAGCAAGTTTCTAATTGGAACCATATGTTTATTTTCATTAATTAAAAGTTAATTAATGAATTTTAATTAATTAAGCGACTGATCGTTACGATTAGCCCTTTATAATATGTTCCCCTGGCCGTATAACTTATCTCCACAAGCGGCATAAGTGTAACTTTCAAGGCTTTTTTTAAACAAATCTGTTAAGCTTAAAAAAAAAACACCCTGTATATATATATATATATACAGCACATGAAAAAAATCTAAGGAAATTGTTACCAAGCTATTATTAAGACCAGCACATAATCGGCCTGTCAGACAGCCCCTGAAATAGTTATTCTGTTAGCTCTTTTCATAAGTGCTTGTATCTAAATTTCAAAAGTTATGAAAAAACAATTTCGAGGACGTGCACCTAAGCACTTGTTGTGAGTTGTGAATGCGAAAACATTATTAGGGGCAAAGCTCCTTACGGTCTAGCCCTATCCATCCGTCCGGCATCCGTGCTCACATCGATTGCACTGCCTCTGGGACCGACCCACTTTAAAAAAAAACAATGTACGCCCAGACGGGGGTTCAAACTCAGGACCGCTTGCTTACGAGGCAGACGTCTTAACCACTATGCTAACGTTGGATGTAGCGTCTATACAGGAGAGGGCGCTGCGGTCAAGTGCATATATAATCGCGTTAAACTTTGCATGCATTGGCTCAATGTTAATAGACGAGGTGGAGATGCGTTCCCACGGCTTCTAGCGGATCCAAGCTGATCCGCTAGAAGAACCACTGGCTCTGCATTTCACCGACCGTAAAGCAGTAATAATGAAGTCGAAACACAACCCGGAACTCAGCACTACCTATGAGCAATAAAAAAAAATCAGCACCATCAGCACTACCTATGAACAATAAACTCAGTATCATCAGCACCACCAGAGCTTCGCCCCAATCAACATCATTCACCAAGTGAAGATGCGGCCTCTTTTGTCCAACTGAACGCCACTGAGTGCTCCTTCGAGTTTTGCATTGTGAAAAATGTTTTCAAGTTTCGCTCACGTTTTGCTACTGCAGAGGTTGTGGCCACCGACGACATAGATGCTTTTTGCAGCTTGAGACGCTCTGCCTTCTGTCTCCTAGCACGTTGCGCCGCTGCTCGTTCCGCCCGCCGTGTATCGGGAGACTTGACAACCTTGGGGAGTCTCGCTGCCTGCCTCCTTGCTCGTTGTAATGCACTTTTCCGCTCCCTTAGTTCTTCTGCGCTGTATTTGCGTGGACGGGAAGGTTTTACTACTGCCGAAGTTGCGGCCACCGACGATATAGATGCTTCTTGCCGCTCGAGATGCTCCGATTCGCGAGCCGCTTCCTTCTCACGCTTTCGAAAGGCCTCGTTCTGTCTCCTAGCGCGTTGTGCTGCTGCTCGTTTTGCCCGCCGTGCATTCAAAGACTTGAGAACGATAGCTAATTTATCTGCCTGCCTCTTCGCTCTCGCTGCCAGCCTCTTCGCTCGTCTTGCTGCGTTATTCCGCTCCCTTAGTTCGACTGCTGTGTACTGGCGTGGACGGCCCCGTTTCGCTACTGCCAAGGCTGCGGGTGCAGACGATATAGAAGCTTCGGGTGCCGCCATGTTCCTTGACGCCGAGAGGGGCAGAAGCGGCCCAAGCGCCGGTAGGGAGTGCGGCGGTGCGCTGTGCTGACCGCCCTGGCTCGCTGATGACTGCTGCACCGCTGGGTGAAGCAGCGGCAGGAGTGCGAAGCTCGGCGCGGCGCAAGCTGAAATGACGTGTCGTCTCATCATGATCATGGCTCGAAGTGCGGGCACCAGTTGATGACGTCAGACCTCAAAACATAACTTTAGGCCTAACGTCAGGCCAGCGCATACCCACATTCCCCCATCCTGCTGCGTTGCCAGCAGTTTGGCTGGCCCCTTAGCAACAATGACGCCGTTGCTATGAAGCCACAAGACGCGTCGCAGCCAATGGAATTTAGGTGTCGTTTTGGTCAGCCAGTGGAAATTTAGGTGCCGTTTTTCGCTGCTACAGAAAACACCGGCTTCGCTCAATGGGAGAGTTAAAAGGGCACTGACAGAGTATTCATGTTCCGACAGGGTATTTACGGTCTGACAAGGTATTTATGCTTTAGGCTTATCACGCCGTGAGAGTTAAACGAAGCGGTGGCTCACTTCATTTTTATGGATATAAAAAGTTTCAACAACAAAGCGCACGACTGCACTTAGTTCTTCTTTCACAATCGCAAAGTGGCGAGTTCAAATCCTGCCAGGAAATGAAGTGTTTCTTTATATGGTTACCCATGTGCGTAACGCCCTTCGGTGTTCGTTTTTCGTCACGGCTGGCTGTTACCGCCAGCCATTACAGCAAAGGGTTACGCTAAAATGTTACAGAACTCTCTATAGAAATCAAAAAATAAAACACACTCTGCATTAAAAAAAGATTAAATGGCAATAACAATAGCATTATCTACATACCTGTTCCCGTGGAAACGTCCTCGGTCTGGACTTCTGTCGGATCTGGCGGCTCTGCACAAATAAGTGATTCCAACATTTAGAGTGGCATGTGCCGTCATCGCGTCTCTTCAGAAACCTGTGCAGAACAACCTAACTAAAAGCAACCCACCCCTCCCTCTCACCCACCCTTTTAATGCGAAAGCACTGTCTCATGGAGCGAGCCGACGTCACCAGTTTGAAGCGAGAAAACGGCACCTTAAATCCTTTCTTCAAGTGTGGTTAGCTCCCAGCTATGAAGCCACTCGAAAAGCCTAGATACGGCACCTAGTTTCCCCGATCCCAAGATAGCGAAGTAAAGCTGATGAACTTTCGGCTTCAGTCCCATTGGCTGGCGCGCGTCGACGAGGCTCCCATTGGCCCCTATGCGTCAGTTTGAATGATCGCTCACCCGATGGCGCTGCGTGCCCGCGAGGAAGCGGCTTCACCGTTCCACGCCCAATGTCAGCGCGCCGTACGCCGCAGACGAAAGAAGGGAGTGGAGAGCGGCGTGTGTGCTTTCGCATTCACAACTCATAAGAAGTGCTTAGGTGTACCTTGAGCCTTTCTTTCCAAGTGAACTCTTCCTGCATGAATAGCCGACCTCATTTTGATGATCAGCTTGTTTCCAGTCCCCTCGTCGCCGTGTTGAAGACGATTATGGTGTCCGAAGAATGTGTTCTTCGTGCAAGCTGGCTGTAGTTTGGACGGTGTCACACGCAGTTGCTAGTCACGGGCTGATGCTCATTCTCGTCGACTGAATATGCAGTTCACTTTTACATAGAACACAAATAAACGCTGCATGGATAACTTTTTCTCGTAGTGCAAGTACTTTTTTTTAATTATTATTTCTTGAGTAGACTGTTTTCTCACAGCGGGAACAAAGTTAGAACCGTACAGACACGGGTCGAAATAGAGCAACCATTTTGAGCAGCTATGCAATCATGCTAAAGGCACAAATGACAGTCCGTTCTGTAATCGGCGAAGCAAAGAAAACACTCACTTCGGTTTTCGGTAACTACGTTCAAATGTCCACAAAACGTCGTTTGATCAAGATGTGTCCACGAAGCAGTGAGAGTGTCAAGGGACTGATCTGACTCTAGAGTCATTGAATCCAAAGACAACGCCGGGCTTTGAGCGCATTAATTCCGAATATCGAGTCAAACAGCGCACTTAGAAATCCATCTCAAGTCAGGAAATGTGATTGGAATGCTTATTTTACACGTTTTACAACATTTATTCATCTCTGACGGCATCGTATTTTCCACGGCCTCGACGGGAACCTGCGGAGCTTCACGCCTGCTAAGCTTCCGTGGTTGCAACAGTCCGGTGCACAACAGTGCCTACATCTTCGACATTTGCTCTTCTGAGACATCCAAAAGAAATGTTAAAAATGAAAGACCAAAAACGTATGAATCAACACCTTGAAATTGATGCGTGAACAGCCCCACGAGCAAGCAGGCTGGCGAAAGGGCCTTCCCAGTGTTGCAAATATTTTGTGCTAGATGGCGCAACGTGTCACACCAAATTTGATTGCCCTGAGGGTATAGTGAAATTTTAGCTTATGCTAAAACACACTGAAAACAACACTATGGGTATACTATGGGATACTAAAAGGTGGCCTGGCTTGAGATGTTTGGCTTGTGCCAAGATGTGGAGGAAGGGGGCTAAATAGCACTTATCATCTTGTCCTGAAGTATTTTTGTGAAACACCCTTATCCAAAAATATTGAATTGAAAACATTGTAAAATCAGTCTGTGCTTGCTTTTTTTATATTATTTCAGAATGAACTGGTATTATTGACACACTGCTCTTTTATGAAAGCCACATCTCCACTTGCACACATCCAATTGTCCCAGCTGTTCTCTTTCTCCGACAGGTGCATGTCTGAGGTATCCAATAAGGGGTATAAATATGTTAAACGTAACATTAAGTGTTTTTAGACATTCTTTATAGTATTTCCTGCAATAAATAATTTTGAAACTGAACAATTCAAAAGTGTCATAATAACACAACTTCTCCTAGAGCTTCCATTTATGTCTTACTGAAATCCACTCACCTTTCAGTTTGCAGAGCTATGTTTATTTTCTGATTTCAGTATATTAATCTGTCTTAATTCTTTTCTATTATCTCTGCAAATGAAACTTCCAATATTAACTCTTTCCTGATCATGCCAATAGGTCATCGATCCCCGGTGATGGATGGTTTTCAAGTGCACCCAAAACATTAAATGTAGTGTGGAGAACTATGTTCCACAATCATGTGGATAGCCGAAGAAGTGTGGTTTCGGTTTCAACGCAGCTTTCAGCTTGATCACAGGCTGGTGTGTTCTCAAAAATAGTCCTGAGAACGGTGGTTGCACTTGTCTAACATGGATAACTGCTTGCATCAGTCTTCGTAACAAAGATGGCATTATTTACATAATTCAACTGCATTGTGGCATATCTTTTGATGTCAAGAGCTCTGGCTGCACTTTAAATGAGGTTATAGAAATCCCTTAACAGACGTTTGTGGCTAAGCATCACTATAATTTCCGGCGCGCACGTTTTATGTTCCCAACAAGGTGGACAAAAATCCTAAATATGAAGGAACTCCAGTCAAGGCTATGACAAAACCAAGGTAGAACACAAAGAAAGCATTCTGCTGGGGATGTGAGGTGTACCATCTGTGTTTCACCAATATAAGCATTCCTTCATTGAAAAGCACACATTTTATGAAGGCTAATCTCCGACGAATCAAAAATAGATGTCGGTTAGAATACAGTAACTTTGAGAAATAATAGCAGTGCATGTGGGGCCCATTTTGTATATTCAAAAGTTTTTTGTCGTGTCGTTTAATTTGACACAACTGTTGAAGATTCGATGTTTATACTCATTCCTCACGATTAGTGTATTTTTAAAAAATTACATTTTAACATCTTTTTTTTACATTATACCAAACTCTGTTTCTTTTCACAAACAACTAAATGGCCACATTTTGATGCGTTATATTTCTACATATGCAAATTAGGAAAATATAAGCAGTTGCACAGAACCTTTGAAAACTGCTGCCTTTCTCGCGGTCAGGAAAGAGTTAAGGACATACTTGTAGTCAGATTGTAAAGGCAGACAAGTTGTGCAAATTTAATTTGTATTCTATCACAAGTTTTATATATAAAAAAAAAAAAAAAAAAAAAAAACCCTAGGAGCAGTGTTCCCCCTTAAACAGCCATAACAGAGAAGCCATGGACATGTCTTAGTGCCGAGGGACATTTTGGGTTATGCTGAAAGGTACAGTAGAAAAACTAGAAAAATCTGCGGCTGATAATGTACATGGCTTTTTTTGTGTGGGCCTTTTCACACATTTGCGAGGTTTGTGAAAATTTTAGATAGAAAATATCTTCACAGCATACTTTATGTAGCGGTTTTCTGTGCGTGCACTACCAGAAACAGTGAGTTGCAATTTTTTTGGTCCCAAACGTGAATTAATGTATGTACAGATAACTTATTATGTTGCTTAATTGTAAGAATTCAAGTGTAAAGAAGAAAGATCTCTGCAAGGGCAGAAATCTAACTGGCCAATGCATCAGATTGCTTTTTTTTTTTTTCAAAGGATGAGCATTAGCTTGGAAAGATTTTTTTCTACTGCTTTTCTCCGGAGCAATGAACAGTGGCTTAGATAAGGGCGCAACAGGTTGTCATATTTGGTTCCCGTCCAATTCAGGCGACCTGTTTGGTCATACAACCCTCAAATGTTGCCAGCCCATTACATGCCACGTTTTAACCCGAAATGAGCCGTTACCCAACGCGAAACTACTCAAGCAGCAACAAACCTGTCTTGATAGTAGCAGCATGCGTCAGACTGTTGCCACTGGAACTGCCCCATCCTGCAAAAAGAGATGGCAGGAGACTTTAATTACCACAAAGTGATGTGCTGAAAATTAAAATGCTATTTATGCCCACTTCAAAGCGTAGAAATGCTTTGCCGCAACTATCAAAGAAATGATCCCTCTCATACAAATGTGCTAATGCATTTACAGGTATTTTCAGAAGCCTGAAGCTCTGCATGCAGACAAGATGGCAAAACCTGCTAGTGTTCAAGTGAGAGAACTTCTAACAACTAATAATGCCAATCCATTAAAACTATTTGCCACGTGGGTCATAGACAAGTGCGCAAACTCACCCGGTCCATCGTCCGGCAGTATGGATTCGCTTTCTTGTGTGTCAGAATCGCCCTGCACATCTGAGACAAAACATAAAAAATATAATGTGTGACGCATGAAAAAAAGTTTAAGGAAATTGTCACCAAGCTATTATTCGGACCAACACATAGTTAGCCTGTCAGACAGCCCATGAAATAGTTATTTTGTTAGTTCTTTCAGGAGTGTTTACATCTGAATTTCAAAAGAAAAAAAAAATTCCAAGGACACCTATTCTTACGATTTGTGATTGAAAGCATTAATTTCCAATTGAGCATTGCTCAGAGCTGATTCAAGTTTTGCGCTGCTAGTAATGTTTTCGTGTTTTGCTCACATTTTGCTAGTGCCGATGTTGCTGCCACCAACGATATAGATGCTTCTTGCCGCTTGAGACGCTTTGACTCACGATCCGCTTCGGCCTCCTGCTTTCGAATGGCCTGGTTCTGTCTTCTAGCGCGTTGTGCCGCCGCTCGCCTCACCCGCCGTGTATTTGGAGACATGCATCGTCTGTTGGAAGACTTGACAACAATGGTGGATTTCGCTGCCCGCCTTTTCGCTCGTTTTGCTGCGTTTTTCCGCTCCCTTAATTCGTCAGCGGTGTACTGGCGTGGACGTCCACATTTCACTACTGCCGAGGTTGCAGCTGCTAACAATATAGATGCTTCAGGCGCCGCCATGTTCCTCGGCGCCGAGAAAAGCAGAAGCGGCCTCAACGCCGGCAGGGAGTGCGGCGGTGCGCCACAGAGAGCGCCCTGGCTCGCTGCTCTAGCTCGCTGGTGACTGCTGCACCGCTGAATGAGGCCGTGGCGGGAGTGCAAACATCAGTGCAGGACCAGGAGTGTGAAGATCAGTGCGGCACGTGCTGGAATCATATGTCATCTCATCATCATCAAGGCCCTAGCTGCAAGTACCGGTTGATGACATCAGACCTCAAGGTGAAACATTAGGCCTAACTTTAGGCCTAACGTCAGGCCAGTGTACTGGGTGTATCAAGGAGTGGCCAGGCTCTTTAAATCGACCGCAAAATTCGGTTTCTTAACCTATCGCGCTATGACTTTGTGCAGCGTTGCCCACAGATGGTGCATTTTTTTCGTAAAATTTGCAAAGAGCGAACTTACCTGAGGAAAAAGTTAAGAAAGAAAAAGGCTTAGCTCTTATGGAAATGCGGCGAAGCCAAAAGTCTTCAAAGAATACTGCGCCGTTTCGCACGGAACACAAGAGATGGCACAAGCGGCCACGATGCCAACTGTTCCAACGAACGAGCATACGGCGCCGAGAGCCGACGTCTTTAGCAGACAATATTTACGACTCGAAAGCGGCGCAAGCTTTTCTGATATCAGTTGCCAATGCATTATTTATCATCCTTACTGATGAAACATATTGAATGGACCCATAATCGATTAAAAAAATGGTTTGTCGGGATATTTTGACTGTTTTTTTCGGGCTACCGATGTCGTCTGCTTTGCAGTTATTTGTAGTTACTGTACCTGTTATTGTTTCTGCGACTGTCGCCGCCTGCAGAACGCGCTCCGCTTTTGAGTCGAAAATATTGTCCGCTAAAGACGTCGGCTCTCGGCGCCATATGCTCGTTCGTTGGCGCAGTTGGCATCACGGCCGCTTGCGCCATCTCTTGACTCGCGTGCGAAACGGCGCCGAACTGTTTGAAGACCTTTGGCTTCACCGCATTTCCATAGGAGCTAAGCCTTTTTCTTTCTTTACTTTTTCCTCAGTTAAGTTTGCTCTTCGCAAATTTTATGAAACAAAATGCACCATCTGTGGGAAACGCTGCACAAAGTCGTAGCACGATACGTTAAGAAACCGAATTTCGCAGTCGATTTAAAGAGCCTGGCCACTCCTTGATACACCCAGTATACCCGTTTCACCCCCTCACGTCAAACAGCTGCACGTACCGGTTAACAACATAGGCCCGTGGCTCTCAAGTTTTGAGCAGTGCTCCAGGCGAGCAAAATAAAATATCTGGCTCGCGTTCCAGACGTGCGTCATCATGCTTCCCCACTACAGTTTTTTATACACCGTTCCATTGTAAGGGCCAGCGTAGCAGAGGCTACAAGTGCAAGCTCCAAGCTTGCAGTGTCCCTGCCAAGCATGCGCGCTCGTGCAGTGCAAGCATCGCTCGGGGGAACATGTTTTTGTAAGTAGCTTCAGCTTTGCTATCACTTAAAGTGAAACATACGGGCTCACGGAAGCTATGAAAGAACGCAATAAAATAATAAAGCTCATTGGGACGCCGAGGCCGCGAGCTGCATAATTAATTTTTATTTTAGTTTTTCTTTTTTTTAAGACAATTTGCTATCGCGCATCTATGGATGCTGACAGATGCTTGCATTCGAACGTGGCACGTGCAAAATTGAACGTTACAGCGCCACCTGGATAGTGCTGCCAGCATAACACGGTCGCGTGTTCCGGACACGCTCGCGCTCCCTGCCCGAGAGCAGCGGGCCTATTAGATATCAAAGCGTAAGGATATGCCGAACAGTAGGGCTAACGTCAGGCCAGCACATACCTGCAGATTCCCCCTCCCGCCGCGCCGCCAGCAGTTCGGCTGGCTCCTTCCTTAAGCGCGGTCCAAACCAGCGCGTTTTTCTGCGCGCGTAAGTCGTGCACTTCCCGGAAATTGCGTATTTCGTGATGTCGCACTGATTCCTTGCGCCTTCTGGGCGCGCATAAGAAAGTTGGAGGATTCCAACTTTTTCTGAACGCGAACAAAAACGCGCTGTGACGTAGTAGGGCGCTCCTCTCCCGCCCAATCGGTGAAGGGCACCAGTTCCGGCGCCGCGTTTTTTCGCCGTCGCATGCATATGCTCTCCGCTCGCCCGAAAGTGCACCGTCCTAACCAACGCGCACGCTTGTGACTCTGAAAGCGCACAAGAAACAGCAAAAACGTCAAGAATTAAGCAATTTCCGGGAAGCACATGACTTTCGCGCACACAAAAATGCGTTGGTTTAGATCGTGCTTTACCAATGATGATGCCATTATAATGGAGCCACATGACGTGTCGCAACCAATGGGGATTTAGGTGTCGTTTCTGGCTGCAACAGACATCTACAAATAACGCCGGCTTCGCTCCATGCGACAGCTAAGACTTTTGCATTAAAAAATGGATTTACATTAACGTAACCAGAAATGGGAACTCCTAATGGCAACAAGAAATGACTACAGATAGGCTATCACCAGCGAAATCAATGACACTTAGCAGATAGAACAAAAAGCTGTGGTGGCAGGTTCGCAAACCCTTCTAGAGTGAATCAGATGTTCTCAGCGCCTGGCAGCCTAAAGATGAAGCCATGAAAGTTGTATGTTAAAAAGCATACAATGAAAATCGTCAATACCCTTGTCACCTTGGACCGAAAAAAAATGTACTGTTACTTTGAGACAAAGTTTGATCACAGATTCATTTCACTTCTACAATTTTAGAAGAGAAAAAACTAACAAATCAAAGAGACCAACAAGCAAAACAAGATAAACTAACAGTCTTAAGCTGAGCTAGTTGGTTCATACTTCAGGTAAGGCCAGCTGAACTAGAATAAACATACACAGAGGAAAGACCATACACACCGCTGGATTAACTAACTATTCTGTTTCCTCCTCTTCTGTATGGTCTTTTCTTTGTGTGTACGTTTAATCTAGTTCACCTGGCCTTACCTAAACAAGATAACGGTGTCAAACAAATAAAATATGAAACTGCCTCGATCTAACCGTAAATTTGGCTGTTCTCCTTCAGTGACGCTTACGTTATCAGTTGGCTGAATTTGCTAGAGCAACACTTTCCAATCATTTTGCACACAAAGTAAATCACTCAATCCCCAGTCTATCACAGACACTGCACACATTTCCTAGGGGATAGTTTGTAAAGCACTTCCAATGCACATTAGCTGCATCATACTCCGACGGACTTAATAACGCCAGCGAAGTGCTAATCTGACAAAGCAAGTCTTGCAATGCGATGAAGCATGCACCTGCATTCAGCAACATCTGCCTCAGCTTTGGTAGACTGCGAAGCACTTGCTAGATGTTTACATTTCACATCCCTACACCTTTTTCGGTTGAAGTTGAAAAGAGCATTGTTCGGCCCCTTCTGTGAAATGATAAATACTTACGACAGTATGAGAACAGGGTCCATTCCATTGGCGTTCGCCTCCTTTTCTTTAGGGACAATAGACCCTGAAAAAAATTAAAAATTTAATATGACTACACAGTGTGCTGCGGCCACAGTGGCAGCTGTCGCGTTGTCGAAAGGTGTGCTTTAGAAGACATACTTTTAGCTGATGTGCTTTAGGGTATTTCCTTTTACGTTTGCAGAATGCTTCCACGCTATGTGCTTTTGGCGAAAAAATAACACTGAAACGCGCTTCTATAATTCGGTGGTTGCCGCAGCAGAAGGAACAACATGTAGGGCCCGCCGCCTCCGACACTTTGCATCCGCCTTGTGCTCCCGCAGCTTGTCGTCTGCGGCCCGCTGTCGACGCTTTCTCTTTGCCTCGCCCTCGCAAACAAGGGGGTCTTGACGCCCCTTGCGCTAATGCGCTGCCGCTCATGAGTGATATTTGGGGTTCTGCACCCTTCGCTGTTCTCGTGCCGTTACGCATCTCTGTTTAGTCTGCCCAGTGCAGTGCGCTTGCTGTTCCTGCACCTCAGATGGAGGGCGAATGTTGCGTGGTGTGGCCTGGAGTCACTGAATGTTCCCAGAGTACCGAAACTCCCAGGCTCAAAACACCAAAATGGCGGCTCAATTTTTTTTTTTTTTTTTTTTTTTACTGTGGTCATTAGGAGCATTTAGAAAGCCTGTTTTAGCAAAAAGTCAAACAGAAAAAGCCCCTTTTGTAGAAATTTTTATTGGAGATTAGTACAGAATGACAGGAGCATGATGTTTTCATAAAATTTTGGTTTACAAGGTTACGCGGCACAATAAATATTGTTTTTATACAACCATGTCTCATTGGCGACTTCAGGTATCGCATCCAGACCTGGGCGCATCCTTTTTTCAGTGGTATTTCGCAGCGTGTCCGCTTGGGAGATGGGGGT